GTTCTTATTAAGAAACCTGAAGGGAGTAGAGTTGTCAAGTGCAAATGGGTTTTCAAAAGGAAGGAAGGAATTTCAGGGGTAGAAGCTCCTAGATTTAAAGCTAGATTGGTTGCCAAGGTTTTTTCATAGGTTGAAGGGGTAGATTACACTGAAATTTTTTCACCTGTGGTAAGGCATACTACCATTAGGGTCTTACTGTCCTTAGTAGCTCAATTTGAACTTGAAACAACATTCTTGAATGGTGATCTAGAAGAAAAAAATCCTAATGGAGCAACCTGAAATGTTTGAAAAAGGTGCAAGAAATCAGGTATGTCTGTTAAAGAAGTCCTTGTATGGACTGAAACAGTCCCTTAGGCAATGGTATAAAAAATTTGACAATTTCATGATCATTTCTAGTTTCAAAAGAAGTAAGTTTGATAGTTGCCTTTATTTCAAATGTTTATATTTGCTATCTTTACTGAGCACTTTGTGTTGATGACATGTTGTTGGCTTGTAGAGATGCTACTGAAATTGCTAAGTTTAAGGTAGAAATGAACAAATAGTTTGAAATGAAAGATTTGGCGCAGGCTAAAAAAATCCTAGGAATGAACATAGAGAGAGATAGGAAAACGAGGAGGATTATTCTATCTCAAAAGAAGTATACTGAAAAAGTTATTAGAAGGTTTAATATGCTTGATTGTAAACTTGTCAAAACACCAATGGGCCAGCATATTAAATTAACCTTGAATCAGTGTCCTAGTTCAGAGGATGGGAGAAAGGAAATGATTAATATCCCTTATGGTCTGTACAAGGCCTGACTTAGCCTTTGCAGTAAGCTATGTTAGCAGATTCACTAGTAATCCTGGAAAACCTCACTGGGAAGCAGTGAAATGATCCTAAGGTATAATAGGGGAACAATGTCAATAGGAATTGTGTATAGTAAAGAGAAAAACTTGTTGGATTTCATTGTGGGGTGTGTAGATATTGATTATGCTAGAAATCCTGATAATAGGAAATCCATGACAGGCTTTGTTTTCTCTTTATGGAATAATCTGGTTTGTTAGAAAGCTAATTTGCAGGCTATTGTGACTCTATCAACTACAGAAGCTGAGTATGTGGCGATTACAGAAGTTGCCAAGAAAGCAATTTGGCTCAAGGGAATGTTTAGTGAGCTGGGATTCAATCAGGCTCAGGTTCCAATCAAGAGTGATAGCCAAAGTGCTATATTCCTATGCAAAAACCAAACCTTTCATGAAAGATCCAAACACATTGACGTGAGGCTGCACTTCATCAAAGATATGATTGAAGAAAAGGTTATTAAGGTGGAGAAGATTCTGTGAAAGAGAATCCAGCAGATATGTTTACCAAAGTTATTACTTTGGATAAACTGAGGCTCTTCAAGAGCCTGCTCCAGATTGAGTAACAATGAAGGAAATTTCCAAGGCAGGAGAAGATGAAGAAATCAAATGCCAAGGTGGAGATTTATGCTGATGTGGCATCCGATTTATGCCTATGTGGAGTCAAAGTTTTTATATTTTAGTCAGAGGTAATTTAGAAGAAAGAAAGGGACATTTTTGGAAATTCTCATTTGGGATATTTTGTTTGTGCCTCAAGTCGACACTTTTTGTTTGTTTTCTGGATTGTTCTGTCTTGGTTAGAAAAGAGAAAAAGTTGTTGAGGGAATAATCAAGGTGGAGCTTTGGTGTTCGTAGGATGAGATCGACAATGGTGATGAGATATCTTGTAACTAATTTTTATTCTTTCTTCTTGTATAAATTATTGATTAATGTTGTATTTGTGTGTGAGAGGTGTGAGACACATGGGAGCAATCTACGGTGATTACAGAGGGGGGTTGTCACTGGATTCTTGGTGTAAAACTAACTCACAAACTTTGTAAAGTTTCTTTTCATAGTGTATGTTTTCTATTGCCCTGAAAATTGGATGTAGGTAATCAATCTAATTACTGAACCACTATAAATCTGTGTGTATGCTCTTATTTCTTTATATTTCTAGCTTGCTGTGAATGTTTTGGTTACTTTAGAACTTAGGTTTTCTAAACTGGACAACCTGTAAATTTCAACAGTGTTATAAATATTTGTATGTTACGCCAATGACACCTATACCATTTGGTATATCAAGATAAAAAAAATTCAATATATATAAAATCGATTAAATCAAATTGTCCTTACTAGTGATATTTGTTTAATTAATTCTTATCAAGGAAATGATGCCAAACTAAGCAATCAAACACGTTTACCACATTTCTAATGAAGAATATATGTACGAAAAAAAATATCTTTATTTTTTTGTCTCACACCCCAAGTGACCTTGGGTGGTATGAGGCTAAAACCAAATTAAAAAAGAAGGAAAGAAAGAAAAATCTCCATTTTTCGCATTTCTTTCATTTTTAACAGATTCCATTCTTTTAACAAATTTTAAGATTGGAAATGGTGTGGGACAAATTTCTATCATTTAAAGAGTTGAAAACGTGCTGTCTGCCCTTTAAACATCCATAATCATATATATGATACGGACACCATGTCATATGCAAAAGATATTTGTTTAGAAAAAAAAAAATCAGTTGCATGATGATTGATTTCAAAAGAAAATTAGAAAATTCAGTGTATATATATATTGGAATACTTCACTCCACTGAAGCTTAGTGTTGAATAATATTGAAAGCTTTTTTTGGGGGAGAATCCTCTTGTTTTTAAGCTTTAAAAGATACAAAAATTATATATCAACTACATACTAGAAGGTGGGAGCTTGAAACGAGTTTTAATCATTTAAACAATTTAAAACATTGTTCTCTCAACTTCCACGTCATTTTACAAAAGTGTGTAACATATTATGCATAAATGTATTTGTTGTGCAAAAAATATATATTAATGTTAGCACCACTTTAACAAGCACTTAAAGATAAGGTAGTATTAGTTATAAAAAACTCAAACCGCCTTTAAGAGATATTTTCTATCAGTGTTATATTTAAGATAAGGATTAAGGAATGGTCCCCATGTGTCAAGACAATGTACAAAAGTACTCATTACATTAACTTCAAAGGTATAAATATACACCCCTCTTCGTAAAAAATGGACAGGTTGGGCATATGAGAGCTAGACAAACATTTGAGCTTTATTTTTTTTTCTGTAAATAAAACATTTCTCCATTTTTGTACACCTTACAGGCAACATCAGAAAAATAACAGAGAATAATAAAATAGCAGTGGATGTATGATTCATTTTAAGCATCCGAACTACTATAAAAATCTCTCTTATCAACCTATTATTTATGTTTCTGCAAACATATATAATCTATGCACCATAATCAACTCTCATAATTATTCACGTGTAATTTCTAAGAACAGTTTAACACTTTACACCTGTAAGTCGTTGGTGTCAAAATCAAGCATCAACAGTTTTCTTTTAGAAAGAAAGCTCTTTTATCTTTAAAAGATTTTCACAAGTCCTTACCCCACCAATCCACTTTACATTAACTTAGTTTTCTTAACTTTCGGTTTGCTACCCCAAAAGTCACCTTACGGACAACCTCAAGAAGAGAGTTTATTAGATAGCCAGGAGAAAAACAGTAAGTCTTAGACCTCATAATAGCTTCATATAAAATAGAAAAAAAAAAAATCATGGTTAAAATGCAATATTTCAAAGTGGTATCCTACAAGAAGATTACTAAAATCTTAGATGAACGCTTCGTAGTGGCATAATAAATATACTCTCAATCTTTCTCTTCTATACTTACGACTTTGTCTTTTGATTCTCTTTTGATTTTTTAATTTTCTTCTTGTCAAACCATATCCCCACCACAATCTAAACGTTTTCCTAACTTCTAAACCAATAAAAAATCATGTAGTTTATATACATTTTTTTCTTGAGTACTGCACGCATGGGCCATTGTAGTTGAAAAAAAAACTTCAAAAGATGTTTTTTTTTTTTTATTATCTTTGGCTATATAATTGGGTGCGTTTATAGGTGCTTATATTATTAATGCTTATTCTTTCAGGGTTGGTGTTTAATTGTGATTGTAGATTGGGATAGGAGAAATTAAAGTCTTAGATATAATAATAAGAATAATAATAAATAAATATAATTTTATTATATATTTTGATTTTGATATTGATATTGATTTTATTGTTATTTCTTCGATGCCAGTACTAGCTAGTTTAGACAATTACATGAACTTTAATTATTGAACCTGTGGAATTAAATATTATTGTTATTATCCTTTTTATATTATTGTCAAGAGACTGATATGGTTCTTCTCTGTTTTAATTCTTTTGTATATAATTATATCATGCTTAACTAGAAACTTAAAGATGATTTAATACACAACATTAGCGAATAGAGTTTTGTTAAACTGCGATATTAAATCCAAAATTTTAGCTTTTATTCTTCTAATTTTAATTTCTCTAATGAATTAGTATAGCAAAAGTTAGCTTACATAATTTTAAAGTATAATGTTGTTCATTTCTGTTTGCAGAAAATTCAAAGATGAAGACGCAAATTAATAAGGAATTGTTTGTTTGCCTTGAAAAAGAAAGGATTAAAAATCTTTATATATGTTGATTCGTTTCGGCCTATTAGGGGAATTTTGGTAAGGTTGTCCAATGATGAAAAATATTATTCGATAATTGGATGGGTAAAGTCATTTTGAGTTACCTCTTTCCCTTATGGTCAGATGATAAACTATTTAACCACTAGAGTTAGTTATACCTAAATGGTCTTGTATTCCAATCGCGGGAGATATCCCTATCACATTTTTATAATTATCTTGGTTTATTGGACTTGTAAAATATTTCATGACCTTGAAGATTAGGTAGAGTCCAATGTAAGTTTGAACACCCAAAAAAAATCACTTTAAGGTGTTCAATCATGCAATATATTGAATCATTGGATGGGTAAGGTCATATTTTAAAGGTAAATAGGCCCAGCTTCTCCACTACTTTGACTTGAATTGTGATCACAGGGAAACGGGAATTTCATTGCCTATAAATTAATGCTAGACGTGAGCACATTTACCATCGATAAACAAGCTAAATCCAAACCAACCTTCCTTTCTCATTCTCTCTGCAATTCCCATTACAATTTGTTTTAGTGAAAACTCATCATGGATTCTCCCACCAACGTCCCTAGATGGACACCAAGTTCATCACGATCACGGCCAAAAGATCCTATAGATAACCTTGAGGTGCGAAGCCTTTCTTTCTCAGCAGAAAACGTTTTTGATCCTTCTGCCAGGGAAATAAGCTTCCCATTTAGCGCTGGCCCAAAAGTTCATTCAGATAAATCAGAAGCAATCACTGGGAGGCTCGAGACGGAAGCAGTTGGTGGACCCAATAGAAAAAATGATGAGTTGATTGATTATACATCAACAAAAGCAAATAGTGGTATTTTCTTAACATGGAAGGACCTTACGGTTACTGTTCCTAGTGAGAAAACTGGCCGCCGAGCTATTTTGCAGAAGCTTACAGGGTATGCTGAGCCTGGAAAGATTTTGGCCATTATGGGTCCTTCAGGTTCTGGCAAGTCTACACTTCTGGATGCATTGGCAGGTTTGCTGGCTAATACTATTCACAGGCTAATACTATTCACAGATTTGTCTAATTTTATAGCTTTTCTAGGTTCGTACAGCATATGAAGTAGTGTTAATACAGTAGCAAGAACAAATCCAGAGAATCACAGTATCACACATATACCATATCACTGATATCACAATTCACGTAAATTTATGGTATGGCACCTTGGAATTAAACAAAACTAAATGCCCTAATTTTGTGTTTTGAGACTTATGATAATTGTGTTTTAACATCAATCTCCTTCATTGTTTATTTATTTAATATTATTGCATGTGATGCGATTTTCATTTAATGCATGTGGTCCACGGCTTTATGGACTCGTATCACTTTCTATATTAGTCGGAGGACGGTAGATTTTATAATTTTTTCTTTTATCATCTTTAAGCAGTAAAAAAACTTGAAAAAAAAATAAAATAAAATTCATGTTTCAAAACAAATTCACCAATTCAATTAATATACATTCCTACTCTCAATCATCTAAACGCTATAGCTTGTTCAAATTTACCATCAAATTATAATTATTTTTCTTCTTTGATGTGTAGAATATATTACAAATCTTTTAAAATGAAAACCTATCTCGTCTATTACCCAGTGTTTTAAAACTTGGCTCGGCCCGACAAATTCAATTGGGACCTGGGGCCTTCACCAGGTTGGGTTATCAATTTTTACTGTTCATGGCAAACCCTAAAGATTAAGACGACAATTGGTGAATAATTGGTGGCTGGGATGTTGAGGGTTTTAAAGAGAGAGGGCTGGTGAGTCGAAAGGTGGAGATGAAGGTGATTTTCGGTGAGTAAAACGACCAAAATCGCAAAAATCGATCGGCGGCAACAACAGGTTGTTGCTAGCGATTGGCAAAGGGGGATCGGACGTGGAGTGATTTGAATTTTAGTTAAGAGGTTGAGGGGAGAGTATTCGTGGTGATGGGATGTGTTGTCAACACCAGAAATAGCCCCTATTTGGTCTAGGTTGTTGACACTGTCGGAGTAATTTGGGGTGTTTTGTAGGATTTCAAACCTATAGGGACTTCTGTGTAATTTTTAGGGGTGTTTTTAATGGATTTCAAACCTTTGAACATATTGACATGACCAGTTTGACCGACTAGTCAAACCGGTTCAACCCTAAGACTCGATCACTTTTCTGGGTTTCACCTCGGGCCGAGTTTTAAAACCTTGCTATTACCAACATTCAAATCTTCGAATCAAAGGTTTGAGACTGATTATCAGGAACACGAAGATTGTTCAATTTACTTGAAAATAGATATACAAGTAGATATTCAGGTAAAAGTCGAGCTGACTTCGTTTAATTGACACACAGTGGACAACATGATCTCTTCAAAATCATCAACCTAATACAAGTTCACTAAAATCAGCCACCTTTTGCAATCACATCTCCAAAATCATCTAGCCAAAATCAAATTAAGCTTCACCAATTACAAACTTAACCTAATTTTACTCATTGAAAACCAAATCCATCTAAGAAACGACACAAAAATACAGAAAAGGGAAGAAAATCTTGTTGGCCTCTTCATGATAGCAAACGTAGACACATTGAGCCGTTGCAGCAGCAGTTGGACCTAACGCAAGGCCAAGCCAGAGTGGTAGCTGGAACTTGCTAGGCCACGCTGCGAAGAGGCGACTAGCCCTCGCAAGGCTAAGCCATGAAGTGGAAGCCACCCAGCGTTCTGAATAGACTTTTCTTTTAGTCGACAGCCAGGATGACTGCACTTCTTTAAAAGCAATTTAAGATATTAACTGCTTCGATAGATTGAGAGATCCGGGATTTGGTTTGGAATTTTGTTTTGGAGAAGCAAGATCTGTGTTTGATTTGTGTGTGTGTGTGTTCCATTGTTACATGAGTTAAATTACAAGTATAATCAATTAAAGATACGGCTAACTACTTGCGTGTGTAGATTCCATCGAAACATTTTGGAAATACAAAATTATCTGGACCACAACAATAAGTATGCGCGGATCTATACACCAATAAAATAGCTTTGATAGATTGCATGCATAGTGTTGACCACGTAGATCGACAGCCAGTTAAAGATGCACTGGTTCCTTTAGAATCTTAGAATCGTCAATTTATCAATTTAACAAAGCATCTTCAGATCAATGGTAGCCACTGAAATAAAAATAATTTGTGTTGAAGATGTGTATTAAAAGTTTTTTTCATCACTGCTATTGACCCTATACTAAAGCATCCATATTTTATATGAAACGTATATATTTTGATGTTCTGTTTCGCAGTTTCAATCGGTAAAAGTCACCTTTTAAAATTATAAATTAACTATGCTGTTTTATAAGTAGATCACTGTTAAAGGTTTCAACAGAAAGACAAATGTCCGCAATAAAATGGTATCACCCCTCGTTTTAGATATAATAAGTTGTTGATATAGAAGCACTCTTAATTTGCAGGAAGACTAGGTTCGAACACACAGCAAACAGGGGAGATCCTCATCAATGGTCGTAAAGAGGCACTTGCTTTTGGAACTTCGGTGAGCATATATTCATCATATATTATTCCTAAACTCTCAAATGAAACAATTTTTATCATATGAACATTATCTTTTATATATCTGATTAAACTTAATTTCTGCATAAATACTTATTTAACAATATTGGCTTTTCTGACTGGACATATTAGGCCTATGTGACTCAAGACAATACTCTAATGACAACATTAACCGTAAGAGAAGCTGTATACTACTCAGCGCAGCTCCAACTCCCAGACTCCATGCCCAAATCCGAGAAGAAGGAAAGAGCCGAAATGACAATTAGGGAAATGGGTTTGCAAGATGCTATGGACACCAGAATAGGAGGCTGGAGCCAAAAAGGCCTTAGTGGTGGACAAAAAAGAAGAGTTAGCATTTGCATTGAAATCTTGACCCGGCCAAAGCTTCTGTTTCTCGATGAGCCAACTAGTGGACTAGATAGTGCAGCATCTTATCATGTCATGAAACGCATTGTTATGCTTGCTCGCCAGGATGGGAGAACTGTTATTGCATCAATTCATCAACCTAGCAGTGAAGTTTTTGAGCTCTTTCACAATCTCTGCCTTCTTTCCGCAGGAAGAACAGTTTATTTTGGTCCTATTACAGGTGCAGAACAGGTAAGATTAATGATTTTCAGGATAAATTAGAACAAATAATAATCCCCTTGCTTTAGTGAAAATTGATACAATTTTGGATGTTATGAATCTTCGGTGCAGTTCTTTGCTTCAAGTGGCTTCCCTTGCCCAAGTCATAGAAACCCCTCTGACCATTACTTAAGGACTGTTAACCAGGACTTCGAAGAAGTAAGTTATCCTTGCATAAAAATCATTTGTTCAAAATATATATTTTCTTTGCAAATGGGAACTTTTTATAAAATCAAAATGAACAATATATATGGACAATAGGATGTTGAACAAGGGCATGGCAGCATTAGTACTGAGGAAGTCATTAACATTCTTGTCAACGCATATAAATCATCAGAGAACAGCCAGGAAGTTCAACAGCGTGTTTCAGAGATAGTCAATCAGGTACATAATTTAGCAAATTTAATGTTTTGATTCTCTCTCAGCCAAAACCCTTCGCAGTAAATTTTATTGCTCTGTAGAAAGAAGGAACTCTGGAGAAGAAGGGAAGCCAAGCAAGCTTCATCAGCCAGAGCATGGTTCTCACAAGGAGATCCTTCGTGAACATGTATCGCGATTTAGGTTATTATTGGCTTCGCTTTATTATCTACGTAGCTCTATGTTTATGTGTAGGAACTATCAGTGGCGGATCCAGGAATTTTACTCGATGGGGGCAAAAAATAAACAAAAAAAATTTGTGGGGGCAAAATGTCAAAGTCTTTTAGGGGGTAAAATGTAACTAAATATAAATATTTATACAATCGAAGTTTTTTAAAGTTTGAGTGGGGGCCGTGGTCCCCACTCGTCATTAAGTAAATCCGCCACTGGGAACTATGTTCCGTGACATTGGACACGGTTATGGGTCAATTCAGGTACCTTTTGTTAAGATAATAAGAGTAGTTTATTTCATATGCACTCTCTTATTATCGTATCAACCCATTTAAAGGAATTTATCTTGATCTGATGTTCAATATATATATATATATAACTTCTTAATTTCAGGCTAGGGGTTCCATGCTCACGTTTGTTTCATCCTTCTTGACTTTCATGTCAATTGGAGGATTTCCTTCTTTCGTAGAGGACATGAAGGTTAGTGGGTTTAATTAATTTATTGAAAATGAACTAAGATTTATTATTTTTGACCTATTTACAAGTGACATAAATTCACTTGTTTTCTATATTTTTCGATCTTATTTTTAACCGATTTTTGATATCTTAGATATTTGGACGAGAAAGGTTAAACGGACACTACGGTGTTGCTGCATTTGTCATTAGCAACTCAGTTTCTTCAGTTCCTTACTTGCTTATAATCTCTTTGATTCCTGGTGCAATATCCTATTTTCTAGTTGGGCTGCAAAAGGATTTTGACCACTTTTCCTACTTCGCTTTGCTACTTTTTGTATGCATGATGCTAGTTGAAAGCTTAATGATGATCGTTGCAAGCATAGTTCCGGATTTCCTCATGGGAATCATAACTGGCGCTGGAATTATCGGCGTGATGATGTTGGATGGAGGGTTCTTTAGACTGCCGGATGATCTTCCTAAGCCAGTGTGGAAGTACCCGGTCTTCTATATTGCTTATCACAGATATGCAAATCAAGGATTCTACAAAAATGAATTTAAAGGGTTAACGTTCCCCAATAATCAAGCAGAAGGACCACCAACAATCACTGGTGAAGAAATCTTGGACAGCTTTTGGCAAGTTGAGTTGGGGTACTCCAAATGGGTTGATCTTCTTGTTTTGTGCGCAATGGTGGTTCTGTATCGTCTCATGTTTTTGGCAATTATTAAGACGGTGGAGAAGGTTAAGCCCCTTATCAAAACTCTTATGGCTCCTAAACCATCGATTCAGATTTGGGAGAATCCCTCCGCTTCTGCCACGCCTTTGCAATCCGCTACACCTGCATAACATACTTCAAGGATGTGAAGTGAAATTGAATCAGACTTAATATTGTGAGTGGATGAATGAATTTTAAGGGGCTCGCTTTTATTTTATATAAAATAAGAAATGTTAAAGGTATGCCAGACTCATGCAGGAGCTGAAGGCCTTGGCATGTAATATATGTTGTGTGATTCTAAATTTTGAGAGATCTCTCTTTGTTTGGATTGCATTAGATAATATTATTTAAACTTTATATGGGATATTTGGATTATTTATGAGATTATCATCGAGTGTAACATATTTTTTTTTTCTTAATTAAGAAATACATTATTATTTTATATAAAAATATTTATTTTATTTTCATAGATGGTTGAGTTTTCTAACACTGGCAATAACTTATGACACGAGTATATAAATTATTTTATTCAGGCTTAATACATAGAGAGACAAGAATGAAGAAACCTTTCTCTTGGGATTGAGATACCAAACTTGAGTATGGACCCAAAAAATTTGTAAGCATCATAGAAATTTAATAATTGAATAATATTGTAATAACATAATTTTTTTCTTATCAATATTATAAAATTATATAAATCAATTTTGAAATTTATACTAAAAAATATGAGATATCAGATAATAATTCTAAGTAGAGTTAGACATAAAATATAAAGAAAAGAAAGTGAAAATAAACTAAAATTATATAATTATAAAGGAGGATTCATTAATACTCTTTAACGAAATTTTATATCAAGTAAAGTACTAAAATTGATTTTTTTTTAAAGTAAAGATCTAGTTTAATGAATTAAAGTAACAACTTACCCCACCCCGCGCAACGCGCCCCACCCCCCCACCCACCCCCCCCCCCCCCCCCCCAGAAAAAAAAAAAAAAAGAATTAAAGTAACAAAAAAGATAACTAGATATATAAATAAATAATTAAGAGTTAGAAAATATGATATTTTGAAAAGTAAAATCAAGAAGGGAATTAATTCTTTAAGATTTATTTATTGGAGGATCATACTCAACCTTACGTGGTTTTCTTGCCTAAAGCAGAATTAGAAGTCTTGCAAGTTTTTCATCATTTCAAAAATCATGCCAAACTTCATTTCAATTGTAGGGCGAGATTAAAGAGGAGCGTACCAATCACACAAGCATTCTAAAGCATTACACACAGTCTTGTCGTCAATTCTAGAACAAAATGAAGTAATAACTAAGCTTCATTTTATTGGCACTATAAGAAAAATTAGTAATAGCGATTATATTAGCAAATCGCTCGCTAAAAATGTTTTTTAGTGAGGAGTATTTTTTACCTCGGTAAAGGTGGTTCTAATGTTCCTTCCATCCATTATGTTAACGAAGAATTCCTCGTGGAAAAAAAAAAAAAAAAAATTATTATAGGGTGTTTGAATCATATAATGTTTATTAAGGGGTATATTATATTAACAAAAAGAAAGATCACCTAAAGATTATTGAGAATGTTTAGAAAATGTGCTTAATTAGTTTGAATAAATTAGTGAATAATATGTTTGGTTGGGAGGATAAATAGGTGGATATGTTATATAAATTACTAAATTGCCCACCTTTTTAAATATTAACATAATAGTAATTTTTTTTTTTTTTTTTTAATCATTTCTTTTAACCCTCTATATTTAAAATTTTGCTAAAATAACCTAGTCATATAAAACTTTAATTTGTAGCAAAATCACCTTCACCCACCCCAAGCCACTACCGCCAGCCAACCACCACCGCCAACCGCCGTCGGTAATCGACGGAATGGCGTATGATTAGTCGTATATGGTCGGCCATGTGCCGTCAAAGCTGGAAATGGCCATGGATCACAAATCCATGGCTACAAAACGACCAAATCTATGGCCAATTTCACGGGCATAGATCTAGCCATAAAACGGCCATACAAACGCCATATTTGGCCATTCTTGGCCGAAAAAGGTCTTATCAGTGCACGACTGGCCATATCCCATCGGTCGTGCACCATTACGGTGATTGGTGCCAACTACTGGCAGTGGTGAGTCACGGCCGATGGTGGTCTTTGGTGACTGGGAGTATTTTGTGAACTTTTAAATTTTTTTATGGTTGGGGACTTGGGGTGTTTTAGCTAATTTCTCAAATGTAGGGCGGCTGAGTAATTGTTATTGGTAGACATTTGAAGGCAATTGTGTCCCAAATGGTTTTTAATTAAGGGCAAAATGGGTAAAAAAAATCATATTATCCTAGTAATGTTTTAATAACACCCCTAATAAGATAATAAGATTATCACCCACATTATTAACAGTAAACACTATTTGAAATAAAAAATTACTATAATATTTTATTACTTGCAAACCAAACATAAGTATCTTGCAAAATAAATAAAGATTACCCCTATTATCTTATTTACCCCCGATTCAAATGGCCCCCTATCAGTGAGACAAAATTTCTTCACGAGAAATGTCTGATGGTGAGGAAAAATTCCCTATTGAATAGAGATTTTGACAAGGAATACATTTCCTGCCTAATAATCCTAACATGTTAGGTAGGAAAGTTCTCTCAACAAATAACACTATTATTAAGGAAAGATTTTCTTGGGCAAAGAATATATTTTCTTTACTAAAGATTATCAGTGAAGGTAAGAATAATCCAAACATATTTGGCGAAGAANTAAAGCAGAATTAGAAGTCTTGCAAGTTTTTCATCATTTCAAAAATCATGCAAAACTTCCTTTCAATTGTAAGCTTAAGACCCTTAGGGTAGATTAAAGAGGAGAGTACCAATCACATCCAACCATTCTAAAGTATTACACAGTCTTGTCGTCAATTCTAGAACAAAATGAAGTAATAACTAAGCTTCTATTTTATTGGCACTATCAGAAAAATTAGTAATAGCGATTACATTTAGCAAATCGCTCGCTAAAAATGTTTTTTAGTGAGGAATTATTTTTTACCTCGGTAAAGGTGGTCTCTAATTGTCCTTCCATCCATTTATGTTTAATGAACAACTCCTCGTGAAAAAAAAAAAAACAAAAAACCATTATAGGGCGTTTAAATCATATAATATTTTATTATAAAGACATATTATATTAATGAAAAGAAAGATCATCTTGAAGATTACTGAAAATATTTAGAAAATGTGTTTAATAGTTTGAATAAATTGATGAATAATATGTTTGGTTGGGAGGATAAATGTATGGATATGTTATGTAGATTACTAAATTGCCCTCCTTTTTAAATATTAATAAAATAGTAATTTTTTATTATTTTTTGAATCATTTCTTTTAAGCTCTTATATTTGAAAGTTTGCTAAAACACCCTAGTTATATAAAACTTTATTTTGTAACAAAATCACCCCCACCCACCCCAAGCCACTGCTGATAGCCCACCACCACTATCGGTCTGTCGGCGTACGACTAGTTGTATATAGTCGGTGGTGCACTGCCAAAGTTGGAAATGACAGATCCATGGTTGAAAAGGGTCTTACCGACGCACGACCGGCCAGATCTCGATGGTTGTGCACCATTATGGTGACTGGCGCCGGCTACTGGCAATGGTGAGTCACAGCTGACGGTGGTTTTGGGTGGTTAGGGGTATTTTGTTAACTTTTAGATTTTTTTATGGTTGGGGTCATGGTTGTCAAATCGCATATCATATCATGCATCGAAAACCTAATTTTTTGAATCGTGTATTGTGTATCATATCGTATCGTAGGATATGCATTTTTTCAAAAAAATAATAAAATTATAAAAATTAATATCATCTCCAAGATTAATTAACGAATTTTGTGATATTATTGGCTTTAAATTATGATATTACATAATCAAAATTAATCATAAAATTAAGAATCTATATCATTTCCTCTCAACCATTCATATCATTTCTAATATCAATGTCAATATCTATATCTCCACTTATCATGCAAAATGGGCAACACATCTTCCTCTTTACTTTCTCCATGCAAAATGGATAAATTTGAGCGGGTTTTAGTGAACTAGGTTGGGTGACCTAGATCTGACCCGAAAATTTTTTCGGGCCTTTGACCCAAATTAATAAAGTCATATCAATTTGTATCGATATTTTTAAAAATACAAACCAATACATATCGTATCGTTGGATACATATCAACTTATCAAAAGGTTTAGGATATACTCTCTGATACGTATCGTTGATGACCTATATCGAATTGTATCGTAAGATACGTATCGCATATCGTAGGATACTAATAATCATGGTTGGGGTATTTTAGCTAATTTCTCAAAGGTTGGGGGGCTGAGTTATTGTTATTTGGTAGACATTTGAGGGCAATTGTGTTCGAAATGGTTTTTAATTTTGGACAAAATGGGTAAAAAAAATCATATTACCCTAGTAATGTTTTAATAACACCTCCTAACAAGATAATAAGATTATTGTCCACATTATTAACAGTAAACACTATTTACAATAAAAGATTACCATCGTATCTTGCAAACCAAACGCATGAATCTTGCAAAATAAAACGAAGATTACCCTCGTTATCTTATTTACGCCCGATCCAAATAGCCCCTATCAATGAGACAAAATTTCTTTGTGAGAAATGTCCGATGGTGAGGAAAAACTTCCCTATTGAATAAAGATTTTGACAAGGAATACATTTCCTGCCTAATAATCCTAACATGTTAGGTAGGAAAGTTCTCTCAACAAATAACACTATTATTAAGGAAAGATTTTCTTGGGCAAAGAATATATTTTCTTTACTAAAGATTATCAGTGAAGGTAAGAATAATCCAAACATATTTGGCGAAGAAAGTTTTCTCGCAAAAAAATAAAAAATAAAAAAGCTAAGGGCGAGAAATGATTTCCTCCCCAACAATGTTCTTGGCAATTTTTTATGGCCAAGACTTTATGATATTTTATATATTTGAAAAAAAAAAATTATATTCTGAGAGAAAAAAAATCAAATATTACAAAATCTGCAATTATTAGTAATTAGGAGGTTATATTGGTAATTTAATTTCAAAATAAAACGGGTATAAAATATAAATATAAGAAAGACAAACTTAGAAGGAGTGAAATGACGATTTATGAGATTGATATTGCACGGTTTTGAAATTAGGAAGGGTCCAAATAATTTAAATATATTCATTATACAAAACAACGCCATTTTGGCTTTTTTATGTACACTACACCAACCCTTCTTTCCCCCTTCTTCTTTAACGAAACCTTCGCACCATTTTTTTAAACTCCATCTCTCTCACTCACTCTCACTCTCACCATGTTTAATGTATTTTGCTTAGCTCATGATCATTTTACAATTCGAAAACAAAGTAAGGACTCTCACTCTCACTTTTTCGCATTAATTTCATTTCGTTTCAAGTAACTCTCAATTACTTATATTAGAATTTTTATAATGTTTTATGAAATTTTATTGTTAATTTTCTTAGGTAGGTCAGTGTAGTTGAATTTCTTAACGCATTTTCATTTAGTAGCAAAAATGGTCTTTGTTTAGTAACAGAGTTATTGTTTAAAGGAGGATAGGAATAATTTTCCATTTAGCGAAAAATAGCCAAAAGACATGGTGGCTAGCGACAGGGAAAGTAGCCACAAAAAAAAAAAAAAATAAAAAATAAAAAATAAAAATAATAATAATAATAATATGGTGGTCGGTGGTGACGAACGGCAGGCTACTTTGGTTAGAGATTTTGGAGGTTTTGAAGGGGGATGTTGGTAAGTGAAGGGGTGGTCAATCGATTGTTGTTCATCGAGTAATTTGTGGAATGCGCAACGGCCTTTCTTAAGTTAAATTTCAACCACTAAAACTAACATGCCACCACCAAAAGACTCATCGGTCTCCCCCCTTCAAAAGCCTTAATAGTTTGGACCGATTTTGCTCTCCGTTCACAATCAGTAACCTCTACAAAACCTCCCATTGCCACCTAATTTAGGGACAATCTCCAATGTCAGAATCAATCCAAAAACCCAAAAAAATCAACACAAACACTTAAAAAAAAAAAAAAAATCACAATCCATCTCCATTGAGAATCTCCTTTCAAAACAACACCAAACAAACTTCGATTTTGCCAAAAAAATCGCAAACCCTAAGGGAAGTGGCGTCGATGAACGGTGGGCAACCGGGGTCGAGGATGATAGGGGTTTCGAAAAAGGGATGTTGGCGAAGCAAAAGGTGGTCTTGGCGGTGATTTTTGGTGCTAGGGTTGATCGAAATTTTGTTGAAAATACTCGATGACCACAAAAAAACCTTAAAGTGGTGCCAACGATTAAGGAGTGATTGTGGATGAGGGTGAGAGGGGGATGTCGGTAAATTGAATAGTGGTGACGGGGTCGATTTCTGGTTCTGGAATTGGCTAGAATTTGGGCTAAGGTTGGCGATTAGGGGTTGATCTTTGGTGGGAGATGAAGAAGAAGATGGGAGGAGTGGGTAAAATGACATAATTACCCTTTAACTGTTCTTGAATTTAACAAGTTAACGGACAAAATTAACGGTTGGTGGGTAATTGTCGTTTTCAAACTTTGGGTATGAAATTTTTCTTAAGGCAAACTTGCAGTGGGAGGATACCTTTCGGCCTTAGTAAAAATTAATTGTTTCCTTAAAGAAATACCAAAACTAGAGGGACTAGGATGTAGTAAGCAACTAAACTGGGAATTATTTCGGGTCTGTTTGCTTTAGTATTTTAGATAGTATTTTTGATATTTTTAGAGTTAGGTGGGAATAACGAGGTAAGATTTAAAAATTAACAAAAACACCCCTTAGGTTTGTTAATTTACTAAACACCCCTATAATAAAAAATTGAAAATTACAAATACACGCGCACCCACCCATTAAATACTGACAGCCGGCCACCTCCGCTATAGGGTAGTCGGAGTCGCTGTATCAGCGCATGATTGACTGGATCTAGTCGGTCGTGTGCCGAGATGACATTTTTCAACCAAATCTACCATGAATTTGGTCGGAAAAGACAAGATCTATGACCAGATCAAACTGTTGACGGTTAGATCTGGCCATGTTTGGTGGTCAATAATGGCCAAAGATATGACCATTGTTGACGATTAGTTAGGCCAAAAATCTGACATTTTTTGGCTAGATCCATGGTGAATATGGCCGAAAAATGATAGATCGGTGCACTACCAGTCAGATCCAACTGGTAGTACACCATTATATCAGATTCTGACCACCTTTCGATGATGGTGGCCAGAATCTAGTAAATGTGGGTGGATAGGGTGTTTTTGTTAATTTCTAAACTTTTTTTAGAGGGTGTTTAGTTAAATTAATAAACTTAAGAAGTTTAAAAATAGTTGAATAAAATATAATAGTATTTTTAGAATAATAAAATAAACTGGTATTTTGGAAATAATATGAATAGGATAGTGAAAAATATTAAACCAAACATACCCGAATGTTTTAATATCCTTGGAAACGGCATCGTATTTCGTAGGTTTTCTCTGTTATATCGCCTCTCCTGTGTAGGGCACATGGAGTAAAATCGCAAACCTTTAGTGGCCAGAACCAGCAGAGGAGAAAGAAAAGGGGAAAAATTCGGACAGAGTGGCAATGGATGAAGAAGAACACGAGGTGTACGGAGGCGAAATCCCCGACATGGAAGGTGATGTAGACGGTCACAACGCTGACGTCGACATGTCGGCTGCCGATGAGGACGCCGTCAAGGTAGTTACTTAGAACTCTCTACGGTCAATTGAAACCCTGGTATTCGATAGATCTAATATTGTTTATCTGTTCAGGAGTTGGATGAGATGAAGAAGCGGTTGAAGGAGATGGAAGAGGAAGCTGCAGCTCTTCGCGAGATGCAGGCCAAGGTTGAGAAAGAGATGGGTGCCGTTTCAGGTATTAACTTCTTTTTCTTTTGATTGCTGATTTAGTTGAAGAAATTGTGGCTTTAGATTGTGATTAATTTTGTTCATCGTGTTGGGTTTGTATAGATCGAAAATTGAATGTATTTTTTTTTGGGTAAAATTTAAGGAACAGTAATTGTAATTAGTGTTTTTATTATTATTATTATTATTATTATTATTATTATTATTATTATGAATCAAGAATCGCATAGCTTTATGATTATCACTTTTAAATCTTAGTATAGTTTTTTTGTTTTGTGTTATTACTTAAAATATACCTTTTCATGGAACACTTTTTTTTTTCTGACTACATGGGTTTATTGTTGAGTTCTGGGAATCGCACATAGGATGACTAATGGGTGCTTGGGCTGTATTAGGAGGATGGGTCACTCCACCTCGAAGGCTAGTCTTTTGGTTTGCACCTAGGCCTCCTACATTTAGACGCTTCTATTCTTTTTTTCCCAATTGATGATTTAAAGTTTTTAACCGCCTTTAAAATAAACTTATTTGCATTGCTGATAATTGGGGAACTGTTTGTTTTTCTAATTTTTGGACTGTCTTCAAGTTCCAACCAAAATCTTATCCACTCCCTTGCTTTTTTGAGTAATTTAAGTCACAGGGCACTCTTTACACCAAGTTTTGATCCCTTTATACTAATATTTTCCTTTTAAATTATCAATATGTTTATTTTATCTTCCTCTCTGTTATGTTGTACACAGATCCTGCTAGTGCAGCTGCTAATCAAGCGAACAGGGAAGAAACGGATTCACGATCAGTGTTTGTTGGCAATGTGAGAAACATGATACTTCTCTCTTCTTATGCATTACCTTTTCTAGAAATAATAGATGCCCAGTTTGTGTTATTTTCTGCTCTTTCGGAGTTATTTGATGTGGTATCGTCTCACACCAGTAATATTTTTGGCTCTATATATTTTGATTTCTGCAGAATATTTAGATTTTTGGGTGTATCTGTACTATTTATCTTGTAGAATTTTGTCTTACTTTAATGTTTGACTTGGGGAATGACTTAACAGAATTTCTAAGCTTTTTTGTAACACTTTCATGATAAAAATATTTTTTTTTTATCAGAACTCTGAGATCATTACTTAGGTAGCACTTATGAACAAGTTTTGCCCGTAGTTGCTGGAGTCTTTTCTACTTGGCTGATACTCCAAGGTCACTAGAGATTGTATATTTGCAATTCTTATCTAGTGTTGTCTTGGGGTTGCTGCCACCTTGATTTTTAGGGCCCACTTGAAGCCTCCTTTTTCCTTGATAAAGCTGTAGATCAGTAAAGGGGCAGTTATGAAGTTATAGGAAAGAAAAGTTGTTAGTGAAGGATTAAGGAATTTACTTGTGCGGCTATACTAAAACTTAAGGTTGATGAAACAACGTTATAGAGATTTATTTTTTAGATTATTGAATGGATGCAACTACAAGTAGAGCGGTACACAAGGTGGATTGTACTATGGAGTCAGTTCCCTTATTTCCTATAATATACCTTGTTTGAGACATGACTGTGAATTAGGTAGGCATAAATGACTTATAGTGTTATGTATGTGGGTCATTAAAAAAAAAAAAAAAAACTTATATTTTTCCTTTGACTTTCAGTAGTTTTATTTTTGTTATCACCTTGAGTGTTAGGTTATGGCTTCATAATGCAGTGGTTTATGAGAAGAGAAGACGAAGTGTGTCTATATATATATATATATATATTTTTTTTTTTTTTTTTTTTTTTGTAGGATGCACTTTTTGTATAATGTGAAAGTACCTATGAAACTTATAGTTTAGTGGATGCAGTTAACTAGTATGTAATGCTATTATGGTTTATCTTTTGATTCAATAAACTTCCCCCTATATTCATTTTTCACAAACCATTTTAGTTAGGCTGTACTTTTGCTGGTTCTTGTACATTGTCTATGGATTAGGATTTATAGAATTGCTGGAGCATGGGTTCTCAAGCTACTGATGTCTATTATGCTTCATTTGTTATGTGTGGAATTCTCTTGTCTGCAGCACTCTTCTTAATTGAGTCTTATGCATAGAATATTTGTCTCCTGCTTAATACTATCTTTAATTGATTCATTTAACCTTGAAACCTTGTTTATGTTAACTTCTGTTTGTGTTTGGTTTGAATGTGGGCAGTTCTCAGCTTTAGTAGGATCATGGTTTGATACTATATATTACTATGATCGCGGAGTTGTTCTTATTCGTCAAGTTCTCTGTATACTAATGTTGTGATATTTTTATTGTTTTGAGGGTGGGTCAAAGTTATTGTTCTTATATAGTCCGGGGGGGGGGGGGGGGTGGGGGGAGCCAAAAAGCCTTAGTGGTGGACAAAAAGAAGAGTTGCATTTGCATGAAATCTTGACCCGGCCAAAGCTTCTGTTTCTCGATGAGCCAACTAGTGGACTAGATAGTGCAGCATCTTATCATGCATGAAACGCATTGTTATGCTTGCTCGCCAGGATGGGAGAACTGTTATTGCATCATTCATCAACCTAGCAGTGAAGTTTTTGAGCTCTTTCACAATCTCTGCCTCTTTCCGCAGGAAGAACAGTTTTTTGGTCCTATACAGGTCAGAACAGGTAAGATTAATGATTTTCAGGATAAATTAGAACAATAATAATCCCTTGCTTTAGTGAAAATTGATACAATTTTGGATGTTATGAATCTTCGGTGCAGTTCTTTGCTTCAAGTGGCTTCCCTTGCCCAAGTCACAGAAACCCCTCTGATCATTATTTAAGGACTATTAACCAGGACTTCGAAGAAGTAGTTTACCTTGCATAAAATCATTTGTTCAAAATATATATTTTCTTTGCAAATGGGAACTTTTTATAAAATCAAAATGAACAATATATGGGACAATAGGATGTTGAACAAGGGCATGGCAGCATTAGTACTGAGGAAGTCATTAACATTCTTGTCAACGCATATAAATCATCAGAGAACAGCCGGAAGTTCAACAGCGTGTTTCAGAGATAGTCAATCAGGTACATAATTTAGCAAATTTAATGTTTTGATTCCTCTCAGCCAAAACCCTTCGCAGTAATTTTATTGCTCTGTAGAAAGAAGGAACTCTGGAGAAGAAGGGAAGCCAAGCAAGCTTCATCGCCAGAGCATGGTTCTCACAAGGAGATCCTTCGTGAACATGTATCGCGATTTAGGTTATTTTGGCTTCGCTTTATTATCTACGTAGCTCATATGTTATTTGTAGGAACTATGTTCCATGACGTTGGACCGCGTTTTGGGTCAATTCAGGTACCTTTTGTTTAAGAATAGAGAGTTTATTTCATATGCACTCTCTTATTATCGTATCAACCCATTTAAAGGAATTGATTTTGATCTGATATTCAATATATATTAACTTCTAATTTCAGGCTAGGGGTTCCATGCTCACGTTTGTTTCATCATTCTTGACTTTCATGTCAATTGAGGATTTCCTTCTTTCGTAGAGGACATGAGGTTAGTGGATTTAATTAATTTATTGAAATGAACTAAGATTTATTATTTTTGACCTATATAAGTGACATAAATTCACTTGTTTTCTATATTTTTCTATCTTATTTTTAACCTATTTTTGATATCTTAGATATTTGGACGGAAAGGTTAAACGGACACTACGGTGTTGCTGCATTTGTCTTAGCAACTCAGTTTCTTCAGTTCCTTACTTGCTTTAATCTCTTTGATTCCTGGTGCAATAATCCTATTTTCTAGTTGGGCTGCAAAAGGATTTTGACCACTTTCCTACTTCGCTTTGCTACTTTTTGTATGCATGATGCTAGTTGAAACTTAATGATGATCGTGCAAGCATAGTTCCGGATTTCCTCATGAATCATAACTGGCGCTGGAATTATCGGCGTGATGATGTTGGATGGAGGATTCTTTAGACTGCCGGATGATCTTCCTAAGCCAGTGTGGAAGTACCGGCTTCTATATTGCTTATCACAGATATGCAAATCAAGGATTCTACAAAAATGAATTTAAAGGCTTAACGTTCCCCAATAATCAAGCAGAGGACCACCAACAATCACTGGTGAAGAAATCTTGGACGCTTTTGGCAAGTTGAGTTGGGGTACTCCAAATGGTTGATCTTCTTGTTTTGTGCGCAATGGTGGTTCTGTATCGTCTCATGTTTTGGCATTTAAGACGGTGGAGAAGGTTAAGCCCCTTATCAAAACTCTTAGGCTCCTAAACCATCGATTCAATTTGGGAGAATCCCTCCGCTTCTGCCACGCCTTTGCAATCCGCTACACCTGCATAACATACTTCAAGGATGTGAAGTGAAATTAAATCAGACTTGATATTGTGAGTGGATGAATGAATTTTAAGGGCTCGCTTTTATTTTATATAAAATAAGAAATGTTAAAGGTATGCCAGACTCATGCAGGAGCTGAAGGCCTTGGCATGTAATATATGTTGTGTGATTCTAAATTTTGAGAGATCTCTCTTTGTTTGATTGCTTGATAATATTATTTAACTTTATATGGGATATTGGATTATTTATGAGATTATCATCGAGTGTAACCTACTTTTTTTTTTTTTTTCTTAGTTAAGAAATACATTTATTTTTTATATGAAAATATTTATTTTATTTCATAGATGGTTGGTTTTCTAACACAGATTTTTTAGGCAAATAACTATGGAGTAATGTTATGCTTATTCACGATCTTACAACTATTTTCTATCCTTTGTAAATATAACGTATATGACGAGTACCATACGCATATAGAGGGTATTATATGTAATTTTAACAAAGGTTAGTAGACGTTAATAAATTCGTGAGTAGCCAAACATTATGTAACTTATGACAAGAGTATATAAATTATATTTCAGGTTTAATACGTAGAGAGACAGAATGAAGAAACCTTTCTCTTGGATTTGAATACCAAACTTGAGTATGGACCCAAAAAATTTTGTGAGCATCATAGAAATTTAATAATTAATAATATTGTAAAAACATAATTTTTTTCTTATCAATATTATAATTATATAAATCAATTTTTAAATTTTATACTAAGAAATATGAATTCTTTAAACTATTTTGTTTGATAGCTTTTGAGATATCATAAATTAATTCTAAGTAGAGTTGACATAAAAATAAGGAAAAGAAAGTGAAAATGAACTAATTATATGTAATTAAAAAGGAGTTCATTATACTCTTTAACGAAATTTATATCAAAGTAAAGTACTAAAATTGATTTTTTTTTTTTATTAAAGTAAAGATCTAGTTTAATGAATTAAAGTAACAACTTACACACACACACACCCCCCATAAAAAAAAAATTAAAGTGACAAACGAAAGATAAACTAGTATATATAAATAATAATTAAGAGTTAGAATATATGATATTTTGAAAAGTAAAATCAAGAAGGGAATTAATTCTTTAAGATTTATTTTTATTTTTTATTTATTATATATATATTGGAGGATCATACTCAACCTTTACTGTGGTTTTCTGCTTAAAGCAGAATTAGAAGTCTTGCAAGTTTTTCATCATTTCAAAAATCATGCAAAACTTCCTTTCAATTGTAAGCTTAAGACCCTTAGGGTAGATTAAAGAGGAGAGTACCAATCACATCCAACCATTCTAAAGTATTACACAGTCTTGTCGTCAATTCTAGAACAAAATGAAGTAATACTAAGCTTCTTTTTATTGGCACTATCAGAAAAATTAGTAATAGCGATTACATTTAGCAAATCGCTCGCTAAAAATGTTTTTTAGTGAGGAATTATTTTTTACCTCGGTAAAGGTGGTCTCTAATTGTCCTTCCATCCATTTATGTTTAATGAACAACTCCTCGTGAAAAAAAAAAAAAACAAAAAATAGGGCGTTTAATCATTAATTTTTATTATAAAGACATATATATTAATGAAAAGAAAGATCATCTTGAAGATTACTGAAAATATTTAGAAAATGTGTTTAATAGTTTGAATAAATTGATGAATAATATGTTTGGTTGGGAGGATAAATGTATGGATATGTTATGTAGATTACTAAATTGCCCTCCTTTTAAATATTAATAAAATAGTAATTTTTATTATTTTTTGAATCATTTCTTTTAAGCTCTTATATGAAAGTTTGCTAAAACACCCTAGTTATATAAAACTTTATTTGTAACAAAATCACCCCCACCCACCCCAAGCCACTGCTGATGCCCACCACCACTATCGGTCTGTCGGCGTACGACTATTTGTATATAGTCGGTGGTGCACTGCCAAAGTTGGAAATGACAGATCCTGGTTGAAAGGGTCTTACCGACCACGACCGGCCAGATCTCGATGGTTGTGCACCATATGGTGACTGGCGCCGGCTACTGGCAATGGTGAGTCACAGCTGACGGTGGTTTTGGGTGGTTAGGGGTATTTTGTTAACTTTAGATTTTTTTATGGTTGGGTCATGGTTGTCAAATCGCATATCATATCATGCATCGAAAACCTAATTTTTTGAATCGTGTATTGTGTATCATATCGTATCGTAGGATATGCATTTTTTCAAAAAAATTAAAATTATAAAAATTAATATCATCCCAAATAATTAACGAATTTTGTGATTATTGGCTTTAAATTATTATTACATAATCAAATTAATCATAAAATTAAGAATCTATATCATTTCCTCTCAACCATTCATATCATTTCTAATATCATGTCAATACTATATCTCCACTTATCATGCAAAATGGCAACACATCTTCCTCTTTACTTTCTCCATGCAAAATGGATAATTTGAGCGGGTTTAGTGAACTAGGTTGGGTGACCTAGATCTGACCCAAAATTTTTTCGGGCCTTTGACCCAAATTAATAAGTCTATCAATTTGTATCGATATTTTAAAAATACAAACCATACATATCGTATCGTTGGATACTATCAACTTTCAAAGGTTTAGGATATACTCTCTGATACGTATCGTTATGACCTATATCGAATTGTATCGTAAGATACGTATCGCATATCGTAGATACTAATAATCATGGTTGGGTATTTTAGCTATTTCTCAAAGGTTGGGGGCTGAGTTATTGTTATTTGGTAACATTTGAGGGCAATTGTGTTCGAAATGGTTTTTAATTTTGGACAAAATGGGTAAAAAATCATATTACCCTAGTATGTTTTTTAATAACACCTCCTAACAAGATATAAATTATTGTCCACATTATTACAGTAAACACTATTTACATAAAAGATTACCATCGTATCTTGCAAACCAAACGCATGAATCTTGCAAAATAAACGAAGTTACCCTCGTTATCTTATTTACGCCCGATCCAAATAGCCCCTATCAATAGACAAATTTCTTTGTGAGAAATGTCCGATGTGAGGAAAAACTTCCCTATTGAAAAAGATTTTGACAAGATACATTTCCTGCTAATAATCCTAACATGTTAGGTAGGAAAGTTCTCTCAACAAATAACACTATATTAAGGAAAGATTTTCTTGTAAAAGAATGCTTAGGGTGACGAAAAATTCCCAAGTAATACTACATGTACAAACAACTCTTACAAAATTTATGTTCAAACTGATGTGTATGAAAATGAATGGAAGAGTTGATACAAAAGTCAACTTATCATATTCACTCTTTCATTCATTTTTAACCACATCAGTTTGTATATAAATTTTGTAAGATTTGTTTGTACATTTAGCATTATTGAAAATTCCCTCCTAAAGACCTTTTCTGGCAAAGAATATTTTTTCTTTACTAAGATTATTAGTGAAGGTAAGAAATCCAAACATATTTGGCGAAAAAGTTTCTCCAGCAAAAAAAAAAAGGGCGAGAAATGATTTCCTCCCCAACAATGCTCCTGGCAATTTTTTATGTGCCAAGACTTTATGATATTATATATTTGAAAAACAAATTATATTCTGAGATAAAAAAAAATCAAATATTATAAATCTACAATTATTAGTAATTAGGAGGTTATATTGGTAATTTAATTTCAAAATAAACGGGATAAAATATAAATATAAGAAAGACAAACTTAGAAGGAGTGAAATGACGATTTATGAGATTGATATTGCACGGTTTTGATTAGGAAGGGTCCAAATAATTTAAATATATTCATTATCAAACAACGCCATTTGGCTTTTTTATGTACACTACACCAACCCTTCTTTCCCCCTTCTTCTTAACGAAACCTTCGCACCATTTTTTTAAACTCCATCTCTCTCACTCACTCTCACTCTCACCATGTTTAATGTATTTTGCTTAGCTCATGATCATTTTACAATTCGAAAACAAAGTAAGGACTCTCACTCTCACTTTTTCGCATTAATTCATTTCGTTTCAGTAACTCCAATTACTTATATTAGAATTTTTATAATGTTTATGAAATTTTATTGTTATTTTCTTAGGTAGGTCAGTGTAGTTGAATTTCTTAACGCATTAACATTGTAGCAAAAATGGTCTTTGTTTAGTAACAGAGTTATTTTTAAAGGAGGATAGGAATAATTTTCCATTTAGCGAAAATAGCCAAAGACATGGTGGCTAGCGCAGGGAAAGTAGCCACAAAAAAAAAAAAAAAAATAAAAATAAAAAATAAAATAATAATAATAATATATGTGGTCGGTGGTGACGAACGGCAGGCACTTTGGTTAGAGATTTGGAGGTTTGAAGGGGGATGTTGGTAGTGAAGGGGTGGTCATCGATTGTTGTTCATCGAGTATTTGTGGAATGCGCAACGCCTCTTCTTAAGTTAAATTTCACCCCTAAAACTAACATGCCACCACCAAAAGACTCATCGGTCTCCCCCCTTCAAAAGCCTAATAGTTTGACCGATTTTGCTCTCCTTCACAATCAGTAACCTCTACAAAACCTCCCATTGCCACCTAATTTAGGGACAATCTCCAATGTCAGAATCAATCCAAAAACCCAAAAACACCACAAACACTTAAAAAAAAAAAAAAAAATCACAATCCATCTCCATTGAGAATCTCCTTTCAAAACAACACCAAACAAACTTCGATTTTGCCAAAAAAATCGCAAACCCTAAGGGAAGTGGCGTCGATGAACGGGCAACCGGGGTCGAGGATGATAGGGTTTCGAAAAAGGGATGTGGCGAAGCAAAAGGTGGTCTTGGCGGTGATTTTGGTGCTAGGGTTGATCGAATTTTGTTGAAAATACTCGATGACCACAAGAAAACCTAGTGGTGCCAACGATTAAGGAGTGATTGTGGATGAGGGTGAGGAGGGGGATGTCGGTAAATTGAATAGTGGTGACGGGTCGATTTCTGGTTCTGGAATTGGCTAGAATTTGGGCTAATTGGCGATTAGGGGTTGATCTTTGGTGGGAGATGAAGAAGAAGATGGGAGGAGTGTAAATGACATAATTACCCTTTACTGTTCTTGAATTTAACAAGTTAACGGACAAAATTAACGGTTGGTGGGTAATGTCGTTCAAACTTTGGGTATGAAATTGTCCTTAAGGCAAACTTCAGGGTGGGGATGCTGTTCGACCTTAGTAAAAATTAATTGTTTCCTTAAAGAAATACCAAAACTAGAGGGACTAGGATGTAGTAAGCAACTAACTGGGAATTATTTCGGTTCTGTTTGCTTTAGTATTTTAGAAGTATTTTTGATATTTTTAGAGTTGGTGGGAATACGAGGTAAGATTTAAAATTAACAAAAACACCCTGGTTTGTTAATTTACTAAACACCCTATATAAAAAATTGAAATTTACAAATACACGCGCACCCACCCATTAAATACTGACAGCCGCCACCTCCGCTATAGGGTAGTCGTCGCTGTAGCACGCATGATTACTGGATCTACGGTCGTGTGGCCGAGATGACATTTTTCAACCAAATCTACCATGAATTTGGTCAAAACAAGATCTATGACCAGATCAAACTGTTGACGGTTAGATCTGCCATGTTTGTGGTCAATATGCCAAAGATATGACCATTGTTGACGATTAGTTAGGCCAAATCTGACATTTTTGGCTAGATCCATGGTGAATATGGCCGAAAAGAATAGATCGGTGCACTACCAGTCAGATCCAACTGGTGTACACCATTTATCAGATTCTGACCACCTTTCGATGATGGTGGCCAGAATCTAGTAATGTGGTGGATAGGGGTGTTTTTGTTAATTTCTAAACTTTTTTTAGAGGGTGTTTAGTTAAATTAATAAACTTAAGAAGTTTAAAAATAGTTGAATAAATATAATAGTATTTTTAGAATAATAAAATAACTGGTATTTTGGAAATAATATGAATAGGATAGTGAAATATTAAACCAAACATACCCGAATGTTAATATCCTTGGAAACGGCATCGTATTTCGTGTTTTCTCTGTTATATCGCCTCTCCTGTGTAGGGCACATGGAGTAAAATCGCAAACCTTTAGTGGCCAGAACCAGCAGAGAAAAAAAGGGAAAAATTCGGACGAGTGGCAATGGATGAAGAAGAACACGAGGTGTACGAGGCGAAATCCCCGATATGGAAGGTGATATCGACGGTCACAACGCTGACGTCGACATGTCGGCTGCCGATGAGGACCGCGTCACTCGTATCACTTTCTATATTAGTCGGAGGACGGTAGATTTTATAATTTTTTCTTTTATCATCTTTAACTTTAAGCAGTAAAAGAACTTGAAAAAAAAAAAATTAAAATTCATGCTTCAAAACAAATTCACCAATTCAATTAATATACATTCCCACTCTCAATCATCTAAACGCTATAGCTTCTTCAAATTTGCCATCAAATTATAATTATTTTTCTTCTTTGATGTGTAGAATATATTACAAATCTTTTAAAATGAAAAGTTATCTCATCTATTACCCAGTGTTTTAAAACTTGGCCCGGCCCGGCCAGTTGAACAAATTCAACCGAGACCTGGGGCCTTCACTCCATTAGGTTGCCAATTTTTACTGTTTATGGCAAACCCTAAAGATTAAGACGACAATCGGCGAACAATTAGTGGCTGTGATGTTGAGGGTTTTAAGAGGGAGGGTCGATGAGTCGAAAGGTGGAGATGGAGGTGATTTCTGGTGAGTGAAACGACTGAAAATTGCAAAAATCGATCGGCGGCAACAAGAAGTTGTTGCTAGCGATTAGCAAGGCGAACGGAGATGGATTGAGATAAGTTTTAGTCAGGAGGTTGAGGGGAGAGTATTCGTGGTGATGGGATGTGTTGTCAACACCATAAATAGGCCCTATTTGGCCTAGCTTGTCGACACTGGCAGAGTAATTTAGGGTGTTTTGTAGGATTTCAAACTTATAAGAACTTATGTGTAATTTTTAGGGGTGATTTTATTGGATTTCAAACCTTTGAACATGCTGACATTACCAGTTTGACCAGCTAGTCAAACTGGTTCAACCCTAAGACTCGACCACTTTTCTGTGTTTCACCCCGGACCGAGTTTTAAAACCTTGCTTCGAATCAAAGTTTTGAGAGTGATTATCAAGAACACGAAAATTGTTCAATTTACTTGAAAATAGATCTACAAGTAGATATTCAGGTAAAAGTCGAGCTGTCGTTTAATTGACACACAGTGGACAACATGATCTCTTCAAAATCATTAACCTAATACAAGTTCACTAAAATCGGCCACCTTTTGCAATCACATCTCCAAAATCATCCAGCCAAAATCATATTAAGCTTCACCAATTACAAACTTAACCTAATTTTACTCACTGAAAACCAAATCCATCTAAGAAACGACCCAAAAATACAGAAAAGGGAAGAAAATCTTGTTGGCCTCTTCATGATAGCAAACGTAGACACATTGAGGCGTTGCAGCAGCAGTTGGGCCTAACGCAAGGCCAAGCCAGAGTGGTAGCTGGAACTTGCTAGGCCACGCTGCGAAGAGGCGACTAGCCCTCGCAAGGCTAAGCCATGAAGTGGAAGCCACCCAGCGTTCTGAATAGACTTTTCTTTTAGTCGACAGCCAGGATGACTGCACTTCTTTAAAAGCAATTTAAGATATTAACTGCTTCGATAGATTGAGAGATCCGGGATTTGGTTTGGAATTTTGTTTTGGAGAAGCAAGATCTGTGTTTGATTTGTGTGTGTGTGTGTTCCATTGTTACATGAGTTAAATTACAAGTATAATCAATTAAAGATACGGCTAACTACTTGCGTGTGTAGATTCCATCGAAATATTTTGGAAATATAAAATTATCTGGACCACAACAATAAGTCTGCGCGGATCTATACACCAATAAAATAGCTTTGATAGATTGCATGCATAGTGTTGACCACGTAGATCGACAGCCAGTTAAAGATGCACTGGTTCCTTTAGAATCTTAGAATCGTCAATTTATCAATTTAACAAAGCATCTTCAGATCAATGGTAGCCACTGAAATCAAAATAATTTGTGTTGAAGATGTGTATTAAAAGTTTTTTTCATCACTGCTATTGACCCTATACTAAAGCATCCATATTTTATATGAAACGTATATATTTTGATGTTCTGTTTCGCAGTTTCAATCGGTAAAAGTCACCTTTTAAAATTATAAATTAACTATGCTGTTTTATAAGTAGATCACTGTTAAAGGTTTCAACAGAAAGACAAATGTCCGCAATAAAATGGTATCACCCCTCGTTTTAGATATAATAAGTTGTTGATATAGAAGCACTCTTAATTTGCAGGAAGACTAGGTTCGAACACACAGCAAACAGGGGAGATCCTCATCAATGGTCGTAAAGAGGCACTTGCTTTTGGAACTTCGGTGAGCATATATTCATCATATATTATTCCTAAACTCTCAAATGAAACAATTTTTATCATATGAACATTATCTTTTATATATCTGATTAAACTTAATTTCTGCATAAATACTTATTTAACAATATTGGCTTTTCTGACTGGACATATTAGGCCTATGTGACTCAAGACAATACTCTAATGACAACATTAACCGTAAGAGAAGCTGTATACTATTCAGCGCAGCTCCAACTCCCAGACTCCATGCCCAAATCCGAGAAGAAGGAAAGAGCCGAAATGACAATTAGGGAAATGGGTTTGCAAGATGCTATGGACACCAGAATAGGAGGCTGGAGCCAAAAAGGCCTTAGTGGTGGACAAAAGAGAAGAGTTAGCATTTGCATTGAAATCTTGACCCGGCCAAAGCTTCTGTTTCTCGATGAGCCAACTAGTGGACTAGATAGTGCAGCATCTTACCATGTCATGAAACGCATTGTTATGCTTGCTCGCCAGGATGGGAGAACTGTTATTGCATCCATTCATCAACCTAGCAGTGAAGTTTTTGAGCTCTTTCACAATCTCTGCCTTCTTTCCGCAGGAAGAACAGTTTATTTTGGTCCCATTACAGGTGCAGAACAGGTAAAATTAATGATTTTCAGGATAAATTAGAGCAAATAATAATCCCGTTGCTTTAGTGAAAATTGATACAATTTTGGATGTTATGAATCTTCGGTGCAGTTCTTTGCTTCAAGTGGCTTCCCTTGCCCAAGTCATAGAAACCCCTCTGACCATTACTTAAGGACTGTTAACCAGGACTTCGAAGAAGTAAGTTATCCTTGCATAAAAATCATTTGTTCAAAATATATATTTTCTTTGCAAATGGGAACTTTTTATAAAATCAAAATGAACAATATATATGGACAATAGGATGTTGAACAAGGGCATGGCAGCATTAGTACTGAGGAAGTCATTAACATTCTTGTCAACGCATATAAATCATCAGAGAACAGCCAGGAAGTTCAACAGCGTGTTTCAGAGATAGTCAATCAGGTACATAATTTAGCAAATTTAATGTTTTGATTCTCTCTCAGCCAAAACCCTTCGCAGTAAATTTTATTGCTCTGTAGAAAGAAGGAACTCTGGAGAAGAAGGGAAGCCAAGCAAGCTTCATCAGCCAGAGCATGGTTCTCACAAGGAGATCCTTCGTGAACATGTATCGCGATTTAGGTTATTATTGGCTTCGCTTTATTATCTACGTAGCTCTATGTTTATGTGTAGGAACTATCAGTGGCGGATCCAGGAATTTTACTCGATGGGGGCAAAAAATAAACAAAAAAAATTTGTGGGGGCAAAATGTCAAAGTCTTTTAGGGGGTAAAATGTAACTAAATATAAATATTTATACAATCGAAGTTTTTTAAAGTTTGAGTGGGGGCCGTGGTCCCCACTCGTCATTAAGTAAATCCGCCACTGGGAACTATGTTCCGTGACATTGGACACGGTTATGGGTCAATTCAGGTACCTTTTGTTAAGATAATAAGAGTAGTTTATTTCATATGCACTCTCTTATTATCGTATCAACCCATTTAAAGGAATTTATCTTGATCTGATGTTCAATATATATATATATATAACTTCTTAATTTCAGGCTAGGGGTTCCATGCTCACGTTTGTTTCATCCTTCTTGACTTTCATGTCAATTGGAGGATTTCCTTCTTTCGTAGAGGACATGAAGGTTAGTGGGTTTAATTAATTTATTGAAAATGAACTAAGATTTATTATTTTTGACCTATTTACAAGTGACATAAATTCACTTGTTTTCTATATTTTTCGATCTTATTTTTAACCGATTTTTGATATCTTAGATATTTGGACGAGAAAGGTTAAACGGACACTACGGTGTTGCTGCATTTGTCATTAGCAACTCAGTTTCTTCAGTTCCTTACTTGCTTATAATCTCTTTGATTCCTGGTGCAATATCCTATTTTCTAGTTGGGCTGCAAAAGGATTTTGACCACTTTTCCTACTTCGCTTTGCTACTTTTTGTATGCATGATGCTAGTTGAAAGCTTAATGATGATCGTTGCAAGCATAGTTCCGGATTTCCTCATGGGAATCATAACTGGCGCTGGAATTATCGGCGTGATGATGTTGGATGGAGGGTTCTTTAGACTGCCGGATGATCTTCCTAAGCCAGTGTGGAAGTACCCGGTCTTCTATATTGCTTATCACAGATATGCAAATCAAGGATTCTACAAAAATGAATTTAAAGGGTTAACGTTCCCCAATAATCAAGCAGAAGGACCACCAACAATCACTGGTGAAGAAATCTTGGACAGCTTTTGGCAAGTTGAGTTGGGGTACTCCAAATGGGTTGATCTTCTTGTTTTGTGCGCAATGGTGGTTCTGTATCGTCTCATGTTTTTGGCAATTATTAAGACGGTGGAGAAGGTTAAGCCCCTTATCAAAACTCTTATGGCTCCTAAACCATCGATTCAGATTTGGGAGAATCCCTCCGCTTCTGCCACGCCTTTGCAATCCGCTACACCTGCATAACATACTTCAAGGATGTGAAGTGAAATTGAATCAGACTTGATATTGTGAGTGGATGAATGAATTTTAAGGGGCTCGCTTTTATTTTATATAAAATAAGAAATGTTAAAGGTATGCCAGACTCATGCAGGAGCTGAAGGCCTTGGCATGTAATATATGTTGTGTGATTCTAAATTTTGAGAGATCTCTCTTTGTTTGGATTGCATTAGATAATATTATTTAAACTTTATATGGGATATTTGGATTATTTATGAGATTATCATCGAGTGTAACCTACTTTTTTTTTTTTTTCTTAGTTAAGAAATACATTTATTATTTTTATATGAAAATATTTATTTTATTTTCATAGATGGTTGAGTTTTCTAACACAGATTTTTTAGGCAAATAACTTATGGAGTAATGTTATGCTTATTCACGATCTTACTAACTATTTTACTATCCTTTGTAAATATAACGTATAGTACGAGTACCATACGCATAGTACGAGTATTATATGTAATTTTAACAAAGGTAGTAAGACGGTTAATAAATTCGTGAGTAAGCATAACATTATTGTAACTTATGACAAGAGTATATAAAATTATTATTTCAGGTTTAATACGTAGAGAGACAAGAATGAAGAAACCTTTCTCTTGGGATTTGAATACCAAACTTGAGTATGGACCCAAAAATTTTGTAAGCATCATAGAAATTTAATAATTTAATAATATTGTAATAACATAATTTTTTTCTTATCAATATTATAAAATTATATAAATCAATTTTGAAATTTTATACTAAGAAAATATGAGATATCAGTAATTAATTCTAAGTAGAGTTAGACATAAAAATAATAAAGAAAAGAAAGTGAAAATTAACTAAATTATATATAATTATAAAAGGAGGATTCATTAATACTCTTTAACGAAATTTTATATCAAAGTAAAGTACTAAAATTGATTTTTTTTAAAGTAAAGATCTAGTTTAATGAATTAAAGTAACAACTTACCCCACCCCGCGCAACGCCGCCCCACCCCCCCCACCCCNGGAGATTGCCTTGGATTAAATTTCCTCTTCGGTGTAGGAGTCCTCATATGGTAGGGGATAAGCTTGATAAGGATATCTCTTATTTAGAAAATAATCCAAGATATATTTTATCATCATCTTTCCCTTGATCTTAATCCTTGAATATGATATACAGTATAACCTCTATAAATTAATAACCATGGACCATATAAATTTTAATAATTAAAAGAGGTATTAATTAATCGATAAATTAATAATTTATTAATTTATAGAGATTCAATTCGACGAACATACATTTAATCAATTAAAAATACATTGTATTTTATCAATCTAATCAATTGCATATGAGGTAATCCACTAAATATACATTAAAGCATTAATTTAAATTTATTGTACTTATGTACTTAATTAAATAATATTCATTGTATATAATAATTTCATCGTACTTAATTAAATAATATCTTTTGTATATAATTGCATTAATTTAATTAAATGTACTCAACAAAGAAATATGCATGCATAATTTAATTGAATTAAATGTATTCATTGTACTTAATATCTTTAATTTTATTAAAACAAAAAACAAGTAACAATAAAATCATATTTTAATAAAATATCATAATCAATTAACAAAGTATTTATTTATGATATGAATGTTACCGTTATGCAAGATTTTCCAAAAAAATATTATTTTATTAATTTATTGAGTATTAATTTATAAAGTTTATACAGTATCCCATTATAATAATAATAATATATTATAATGGTACGAAATGTATACATCAAAATGATTTTCATATACATGAAATATGAATTGGTGTGGCATTTTTCACAAACCACTGTTTGATTTTTCCATTATTACAGGCGCGTGCCAAGTTTGGGCTTTTTCATACTTTTGAAATTAACACTGGCCACCCGTATAGCTAACTTTGTCTTAAAAAAGGTTACTGGTAAATGATTATTGTACTACTTGACCAAAGATGGTGGGTGAACGATTAAATGACAATAATACCCACATGAATAGAGAAACTACTATTTACTTATATGCAAACCAAAATTAAAACAATAAAACTCTAAAATAATAGATTATATAGAAAAAAAATTATAAAGACCTTATCTTACGCAGCCATCCCTCCTCTTCCGTACGCCTTCCATGAATGCCACCACTTCCTTTTGCCCCACACTCTGACACAGTGCCGCATCTCCCCTTACACTTGGGGAGCCCACGGCTGCCCCAAAATTTTTAAAAATTTTGGAATTTTAATGTAATTAATTATATTTCTAGGTGAAACTCTACTCCGTACTTTAGCCTTCAAATTTTGTTTCAATTTGTCCCTCAAGAGTTTGGGTATTTCATTTAGGGAAAATGATAGAGTCACCAAAAATACACACCAAATCTATGCACTGAATAACGTGACAAAATCTTAACCGTTAATTAATATTAATTGATAATGAATAAACGGTCAGGATTGTATCACGTCATTCGATGCACGAATTCGGTGCACATCCTTCAGTAACTGTAGCATTACTCTTTCATTTAGATCACATCAAATCAAATTTATAAAACATTCTCGTTATTATGGAGGGACAAACATAAAATATTCTTATTATTAAAAGGGACAAACTATTAAATTACTACTTTTTTATTTCACCACTTTAAGGGGTTTTTATTACGGAAAATAATACAGTTACTGAAAGGAGCGCATCGAATTCATGCATCAAATGATGTGACACAATCCTGACCGTCGATTAATTATGAATTAATATTAATTAACGGTCAGGATTGAACTGCGTCATTCGATGCATAAATTTGGTGCGCTCCTTTCGATAACTATAGCATTACTCATTTTATCAACTGCCCCCTTGACCTTGAGAGAATAGAAAGTATCATGGTTTTCCAAAAGTATTACATACCTCCCTAGATTATCATTTACCCCCCAATGAGATCATCATTTATCCCCCTAAAAAGTATCAAAAGCCCCCCTGACATGTAAGGTAAATGAAAATTTAATTTCTCAATTAGTCATGGTTATTGAATTCTAAATTTGTAAACTTATAAAAAATTGAAAAAAGACCTGTAAAATAAAACAAAAAGGGTTTGAATTATATAATTTTAAAAAATAAATCTAATAAAATTAAGAAAAGGAAAAATAGAAAAAAAAATAATAGAAGAAAAAAGTCTAGGGGTAAGCGGTTCCGGGTACCCTCCATTTCCGGGAGAACTGGAACCAGAGCCGCACAGTGCAGGTTCTTCAATTCAAGAAACCGGAACCTAAAATGCAAGTTCCGGTTCCTTTCCAGGGTACCCTATAAAAAATCAATTACCCCCCTATTAGTTTAAAAAATGACAAAAATATCTTAAAAGTTTACAAATACACCCCTAACAAATATACTATTTGGGTTTAGGGTTTAATTATAATGTAATATTATAATTAATTAAATTTTTAATCATTTAAATTAAGTATTGTAATATTTTATAATAGAATGTTATAATTAATTAAGTAATCATACTATAAATTTATAATGTAATGTTATAATAATAAAATTCTAATCATTAATTAAGTATTGTGTAAATTAGTAAATTATTACTATGTTTATAATATAATGTCATAATCAATTAAGTAATTATTTAATTATGTAATGTTATATAATTATGATCATACTATAATAGTATAATGTAATGTTATAATGAATTAAATAATCATACTATAAATCTAATTTAATTTAATTAATTAAATTTCAAATATTTAATTAATATACTGATGTTTAATAAGGAATGTTATAATTGATTAAGTAATCATATTATAATATATAAGGTAATGTATAACTAATTAAAGTTTTAATCGTTTAATTAAATAATGTAAAATATAGTAAATTACAATGTTATAATATAATGTTATAAATTCATAACTAACTATGTAATCATTAACTATGTAATGCTATAATTAAGTAAGTGTATCATATTATATAATAATAATATTTATAATTAATGAGTATTATTTAATTATAATGTAATGCTTAATTAATGTTATAATGAAATGTTTATAAGTAATATTATAATTAATTAAATTTCTAATCATTAATTCAGTATTGTGCTAATTTTTAGTAGTAAATTAGTAATTACTAATGTTTAAAAAATAATATCATAACTCATAATCAATTAAGTATTATTATTAAGTAATGTTATAATTAATTATGTGATCATATATAATGTAATGTATAGTGAATTAAGTAATTAGATTATAGATCTTAATGTTATATTTAATTAATTAAAATTTTAATCATTTAATTAAGTAATGTAATAAATAATAATGTAGTAATTACTAATATTTATAATGTGATGTTATAAATTTATAACTAATTAAGTAATCATTTAACTATATAATACTATAATTAATAAGTGATCATAATATAATGTAATGTAATAATGTTATAATTTAATTAGTAATTTTTAACTATAATGTATATTTAATTAATTAAATTTCTAATCATTTAATTAAGTAATTATTGTTTATAATAATGTTATAATTAAGTTTATATATAATGTCATAATCAATTAAATAATCATTTAATTATGTAATGTATAATAATATATGTAATCAACTAATCAATTATAATGAAATAGTAAAATGTTACAATGAATTAAGTAATCATACTGTAAGTCTTTAATAAATACATAATTAGTTTGTTTATAATAGAATATTATATAATTAAGAATCATTTATTATAATATAATGTTACACTAATTACATAATCGTACTATAAATTTATATGTAATGTTGTAATTAATTAATTTCTAATCATTTAATTAAATATTATGTTAATGCTTATGTAGTAAATTAGTAATTACTAATATTTATAATATAATGTCATAATCAATTAAGTAATTATTTAATTATTTATGTTATAAATAATTATATAATCATACTATAATATAGTTATAGTGAATTAACTATTAAGTAATCATACTATAAATTTTTAATGTAATATATAATAATTAATTTTTAATCATTTAATTAAGTTTGTATTAATGTTATAATAAAATGTTATAATTGACTAAGTAATTATACTATAAATCTATAATGAATATATAATTAATTAATTTCTAATTATTTAATTAAGTAATAATAAATGTTATAACTTATAAGTCAATTAATTAAGTAGTAATCAATAATGTAATGCTATAATAATTATACTATAAATCAATTAAGTAAGTTTAAAATTATAATTAATTAAGTAATCATTTAACTATAATGTAATGTTATAATTGATTAGTATGATATTTAACTAGTAATTAAATTTATTAATGTTTATCAATTTATCATATATAATTAATTAATACTAATTTATTATAGATATACTTAGAACTTGATATTGAAGTAAATAACTAAATATATTATTACTCAATCAAATATACTTTTATTCAAAAATAATCTTTTAATAACATTAAAAATGTAAAACACTTTTAATTGGATCATATTCAATTATTACTTAATTAATCAAAACTTTAATATTAATGTATTAAATATATTAAGCTTTTAATATGGTGTAATTTATATGTAATAAGTATAATTGTATTCATATATTTTTTAATTAGGTTATTCTAAAAATTTAACTTTTTCTATTTAAATTTTTTTTATAAAATAATAGAAACCTCCATTATTCACATTTCACAAATATTTCATTATAGTCCAAGTTCCAAAACAGGTTCCAACAGGTTCTAAACCAGGTACCCCTACAGGTTCCAAAAGGTTCCAAAAATCGGTTCTAAACCGGACGGTACCCCCTACAGGTTCCAAAGAGAGTACCCTTTTTACAGGTTCGGTTCCTCACACACAAGAACTGGAACCGGAACCGCACAGTATCGGTTCCAAAAAATTGGAACCGGAACCTACCCGCACAGTACCGGTTCGGGTAGGTTCCAGTTTCGGTTCTACCCCTAGTTCCGGTTCTACCCGCTACCTATGCTCACCCCTGAAAAACCCGTCTAAATCTAAATTATAAAATAAAAAAAATGAAAAAATCAAGGGGGCTGCCCTTTTGAACATCAAGTTACTTTCCCGTCCCACGTCCTTCATAAATACAACCACCTACTTGTCCCCACCATCACAAACTCTCCCTCGACCTCCCTTTACACCATTCAATTAATAAAAATTATTAGGGAGAAATAATGAATGATTGAAAATAAAAGTCACATTAGGCATAAAATTGTATTAGAAGTAAAAGTAAAATCCTATAGGATAGGTATTGAGACCTATCAGGCATAGTATTCCATGTATTATCTATAAAATGGTGTTAAATCCTAGAGATAGGCAATGGAAGCCAAGGTTACAATTAGAGAATGAGAATCACCAAAGAGAGAGTTTTACTGAGGAGCCAATTTGTGAGGCAAGTAAGATACTCTTGTAATTCTTCATAAGGAAATTATGTAGCAGCAAAATGTGAGATGAAGACTAGGAACTCCTTGATAAACAAGTATTAGGAGTCAATCGAATGATATTGACAAGAATATGATGAGTAATGTGGCAAAGGAAACAACCACATCAAGGTTGATGCAGATCTTGTCTGATATGTATGAGAAGCCTTTTGTAAATAATAAGGTACATCTTATGAAAAAATTATTTAACCTGTAGATGAGGGAAGGCACTTCCATGACAAAGCATATGAATGATATTTATACGAGATCATTAATCATTTGTTGTCTATTAAAATTGATTTTGATGATAAAGTTTGCACCTTAATTTTTATGGCCTCTTTACCAAATAGTTGGAAGCCAATGAGAGCAACAATTAATAATTCAACAGGTATTGCGAAATTAAAAGTCATCGATGTTAAGGATAAAATTTTTGCTGAGGAGATTCACAGGAAAGATTCTGGTGAGACAACACCGAATGCTTTGAATGTTGAAACAAGTGATAAAGGCTATGATAGAAAACCAAATCGGGGCAAAGGTAGATCAAAATCAAGGAATGGAAGATGAAATTCTAAGTTTGGGAAAAAGATAGAGTATTGGAATTGTGGCCAGAAAGACCTTATACAAAGGAATTGCAAAACATCAAAGACAGAGGAGAACAACAGTAACAACGTCGTCAATCTGTAACTAAAGAGGTACAAAACGCTTTACGTTTATCTATTTACTCTTGGGTTTTAGATTCAGGAGCTTCATTCCATATCACTACACGCCATGAAACTTTAGAGAATTATGTGGCTGGAAATCATGGAAAGGTATACTTGGCAAATAGAGAACCTTTGTTTATTGTAGGTATAGATGATGTTAGGTTGAAGATGGCTAACAGATCCATGTGGAAAATCTAGGAAGTAAGGCACATGCCAAGATTGATGCATAATCTAATATCAGTAATGTAACTTGATGATGAGGGGCATAATGTATTAATGTGTCATTTATCAGTAGACCTAGCAAAACGAACGAGTGGGCTAGATATGGGTCTATCTAAGTAGGCCCAAAATATTGGATCCATACCTTACCGTATGTGGGTACGGGTGGATCCGCAGGTACCTACATTATTCATTCCAATTTTCAATTCTTGCAATTATACCCCCATAATTTCTATAGTTTTAATATTTTACAATTACACCCCTATAATCAACTAAATTCAGTTACTCCAAATTCAATTAAATTCATCACAAAAGTTCACAACCAACTCAGTTTCTCATCAATTTAAGACCAGCAAGTATATAGAAAAACAAATACATAAACACTAATACACAAAAACAAATACCAAACACAATAAGTCAATAACACAAATACAAAAACATAACCTAAATTTAACTTGACATTGCTCAATTAAAGATATTCTTGGTCAGCTCATGTTCATTCCACAATGGGGATGATAGTAGAGTCTCTTGATTCCGCAATCTTTAGATTAGTTAATGGCACATGGAGATCATCATCTACAATTATCAACTGTAAATATTAATAAATGTAAATAATAAAACATAAGAAATATTATGTTAACATGTTTCCTTTGCTTTCATATCCATATAGCCAAGTCTGATTGCATATCAAAGATTCTTCATTTTCTGGTTGAAGTGAGCTTCAAAATTTGTTGAGCACTTTGCTGTCAATACTAAAAGCGGACTCCGAAGCAACAAATATTATTGGAATACTCATGAATCACGAGCCATCATGACAAGTATCAGATAACGATCACAATTGCTCTTCTAATGCTCGAGGATATCAATATTATGATATTTGATGTGATCAAACCTTATCTCTTCCAAATATAGATCCAATTTAGATTTCTTAGTGGTAATAAATTCACTCTCACAGTTATCAAAATCCTGCACGATTTAAATAGTTAAGTATCAAAAGTTAAAATTGAACAATAAATAATACCTTATCAATCATAAGAATATGAAAAAGTATAGTGGCTTACACAAGTATGATCTATACACCTACTAAGAGTAGGACCACTCGCAGGAGAAACAACTGAAGGTGCGATGGAAACTCCTTTTGGAACATTGAACCTCGTAAGCTTGAAAAAGCTTATGCAAGTTATGCTTAAAAACCTCCATCTTTTGTTAGGCAGTAGTTAAATCATAAACCTTTTTGTAAGCATACTCCACAAATTAAACCTTTAGATGTGGGTCAAGAATAGTTGCAATAGTTACCACAACACTATAAGTTAACGCAGCATTATAAGAATCCCAATATTTTGCAAATTTTGGGATCATTCGTTCCACTGTGCTACTAATAACTTCATCCTCACTCATCCTCTCTTCATTTAAACGTAATAGAATTTCCCACACACATTTAAGGTACAAGTTTTCTGTAAGGTGTTTGGAACCTGATAAAAGAGTTGTAACCTCATAAAATGGTTCCAAGAACTTGCATAGCCTCTCCCCCCTATCCCATTCTTCATTTGATGGACAATATTTATAACTATGATTTATCGTTGATAAAGCTACAAACACACGATGATATATTAACGCAGTTTCAAGGATTAAAAAAAGTTGAATTCCATCTAATGGAAACGTCCAATCTCAAACCCATTGAGTTTTCCACACTCATTTGTTCAAAAAGTTCTCCAAACTTGATTCTTCTAGCCTCAGTTCCTTTAATGTATTTCACACTTTTTCGAATCTTATTTAAAGCCACACTAATAACTTTTAACCCTTCTTGAACAGTAAGATTCAAGATATGTGCATAACATCACACATGGAAAAAATCACCCCTACATAACAAAACATTTTGCACACAAAGTTGGTTCTACTTGCACTGTCCAAAGTAATAGAGAAAGCTTTCTTTTCATTTCCCCATTCTTGTAAGAAAGCCAAAACTTTATCTACTAAAACAATCCCTGAGTGTGGAGGAGGAATATGGAAAAAGTTGAGTATTTTACTTTGTACCACCCAATTCTCATCTATGTAATGAGTTGTTAAAGAAATATATCCCTTAGATGTAGTAGAAGTCCATACATCATAAGTTAAGCATGTTCTACTAGAAAGTCTCTCTAATTCAAGCTTAGCTTTTTCTTTCACCCTTCCATATACTTTTAAGCAATCCGCCTTAGTGGTGTTCCTAGTATAATGTTTAACTTCCTTACACAAATATAAAAAGATATCCTTGGTTCCTTCATTCTCCACATATGAATACAGACAATTATGTTTAATAATTGATAATACTATCTTCTCACGAAAATTTTCTTGACTAATCTTTCTACTTTGTAATTTACGATCATGATCAATCAATAATTGCTCTACATTAGTGTTGCCACGTTTTAGACAATCTCCTATATGATGCTTCAAATTTTTAGTCCCATGAGTGGAACTACCATATGCATAAGATTTATTGCACCCCTTGCACCTAGCCCTCTTATTCCCATTTTCATCAAAATATGTATCAAAGTAATTCTAAACTTCTGAAGTTTTACATACTTTTAAAACTGGTAGTAATACTAGTATTGGAAGCAAGCAACATTACCATTGAAGCATCGCTACTTTCTCTCACATTAACCATATCCATATCTATAGACTGAGACTCCTCCATGTCAATGCTTAAAACTACCTGAACAAAAGTGAGTTGAATTATTAATTGATTTGAATGAGTTTATATTATACTAGTAGTGAACAGAGACAACTTTAGTAGCAAAGTAATCACTATTAAGCACTATCGATTCACATATATGACAATATCTACATTCTTGTTTGGACTTTGCCTTCCATTATTGTACTCTTTTCTTCCATTAATGAAAGCACTACATATTTTTTGCATGATAATCATTTTTCATATTAAAATAAGACAAAAAATAGGAATTGACAAGAAGGAATATACTATAGCATGGCATGCATTCTCAATTGGAATTTAGCCTTCTAAAAACTTAAATCAGGTGAAGCCAGAAACCTCTCATTAATAATACTTCCATTTAAAAAAAAAAAAAAAAAAAAAGTTTGATTTTTGCAGCTTCAACTTTTATAAGTTGCTTTTTTTCTCTGATTCCTATTAGCAAATTATGCTCCTTTCATAGGCCTAGTAACGGCTTTTCCAATTTTCATGACTGCCTAGGAGTAACTTACTAAATTAAGACTTATTATAACAGATCAACAAAAATGGGTATAGTTCTTGTTCTTGTCCACTCTGTTTTGGCTCCCAATTTAACTCAAAAAACAATCCCTACCTCATAACCCAGAAAACCATCATCACTGTCTCTCCAATCTTCACAGCGTCCATTAATCAAGCAAACATCATAAATCAACAACCCACAACCACAACCAGTCAAAGACTAAAATTATGATTTGATTAAATCTGTTTTAATCAAATTTTATATATATATATAAACTCTAAAAACAACCCACAGCCGACATTTTCTCTCACTTTCCCACTAGCTAAAAAAAAAAAAAAAAAAAAAAAAAAAAAAAAAAAATAGGTAAACCTCAGGAGAGAAAAGGTAAACACTAAAATACTAAAAAGAAACAAACCTGGATGCTTTTACATGGGTTTTTGTTAAGTGGTTCAAATGCTTTTGCACTTCAAGTTTCTATCTTTCAGAAACCAATCAGCTTTGAAGCAACCACACAAGTTTCATTTATCAATTTCCAGATCAAGATTAAAATAAACAAGAGGAAAGAAAGAGAAAGGAATGTGAAGTTTTAATTACTTGAGCAACTGGTGATCGGCGGCGACTGAGAATAAGGAGAACTAAAAAAGCGTCGAAGGTGGAGTGGAGATGGAATTGTGATTGTAATGTGAGTGAGAGAGAAGGTAAATTCAATTGTAAGTAGTTAGGGATTTTAGCCTAAAATTGGAGTTGGGATTTTTTAAAATTACAAGTGGGTACTCGCAGGTGTGCTCAGTTTACCCATTTACAAAATGGGCAAGGCCGAGTACAGTTCCAAAAAAAGGGCCCAATTATGCGGACTCTTACCCTATATTATTTACCTAGGTATAGGCCAACCCGCGGGTTCTAACCTGTTTTGCCAAGTCTGCTTATGGGTCGTGCATGGAAAATTACTAAGGAAGCCATGGTAGTTATTCACGGAAATAAAACTAGAACTCTTTATATGATTTCTGGTAGTGGAGATTCAATTGCAGTCACAGATGCCAATGTTACCTCAAGTTGGTGGTATTGTAGACTTGGGCATATGAGTGTAAAATGAATGAAGAGGCTTTAATCAAAGGGAAACTAACTAGAATTGAAGTCAATTGATCATAGTTTAAGTGAAAGTTGAATCTTTGATAAATAGAGAAGGGTGAGTTTTTCCAAAGTAACAAGGGAACCAAAGACAAAAAAGTTGGAATTGGTTCATACAAGTGTAGAGACCCACTCCCATGTCATCCCTTAGAGGCTCAAAGTACTGCATGTCATTCATTGATGAAGCTAGAAAAAAGATATAGGTTTATTTTTTGAAAAAATAAATCTAATTTTTTTCACACTTTAAAAGGTGGAAAGTCATAGTTGAGAATGAGACAAATCTAAGGGTGAAGTGCTTGCGATTTGATAATAGGGGAAAATACATTGATGAAAGGTTCAAAAAATATTATGCCAATAAAAGATGGAGAGTACCATTCCTGCAATTCCTTAACAGAATGGTGTGGTTGAAAGGATGAGCTGAACCTTAAATGAGCGTGCAAAAAGAATGAGATTGCATGTTAAATTACCATCGATTTTTGGGCTAATGCAATTTACACTACAACCTACTTGCTTAACAGAGGACCCTCAGTACCACTGAATTGCAAGGTCCTAGAAGAAGTTTAGAATGGTAAAAAGGTAAATTATTATTTCTTAAAAGTGGTTGGTTATGTAACCTATGTTTACATTGACCCCACTTTTAGAACTAAGCTTGATGTGAAGTCTTGAAAAAGTTATAGTGATGTCGGGTTTGGTTATCATTTTTGGGATAATCAAAATTGAAAGATCATAAGAGCAAAGACGTAATCTTTAATGAAGACGTGATGTGCAAGGATAGGCTCAACATGAAGTCAGAAAATCCAAGCACTAAAATGAAGAGGCGAAGGTAATTCCTTTGAAGGACTTTCGAGTGAATGACATGCAAGATAATGACTAGGAAGATCAAGAGAATATAGCTCCAAAAGTTAAACCACAAATGCCCATGTGTTTAAACCTAAAAGATATTCCAGGAATATCAGACCTCCACAAATGTACTCTCCTTTGTTGCATTATATTTTATTGAAAAAATATAGCAATGAAAGATGAGATGGATTTGCTATTAACAAATCAAACCTAGTAGTTGACAAAGTTACCATAGGGGAAGAAGACATTACAAAATGAATAGGTTTATCGGGTGAAAAAAGAAGGCATTAATTGCACTGAGATTTTATCTCTAATTTCAAGTTGACTACAATCATAATAGTACTTGGTTAGTGGAAAAAGAAGACCTTCATCTTGAGCAGTTAGATGTAAAGACAACATTTCTTCATGGTGACTTGGATGAAGAAATTTATATGCAACAACCACGAGGTTTCAAAGAACAATGAAATCAGAGATTGATATGCAAACATCAAAAGAACCTATATGGGCTAAAATAGACACCCAGACAATGGTACAAGAAGTTTGATAGCTTCATGTTTAACAACGGTTTTCTATGACACCAAGTAAACCATTGCTATTATTTTAAGAGACTTGGTAACTCCTATATCATCTTATTACTAAATTTAGATGACATATTGATTGTAAGGGCTTGTAAACAATAAATAGACAAGCTAAAAAAATGCAATTGTCAAAGGAGTTTACTAAGGAGGATTTGGGAGCTGCAAAACAAATCCTTGATATGAGGACAAGAAATAGAGCCAAAGGTTTCTTGAAGCTGTCAAAAGAAAATTACGAGAAGAAAATAATCAATAGGTTCAACATGGAAGGAGCAAAGCTAAGAAGTAACCCTTTGAATAATCACTTTAAACTATCCAAAGATTAGTCACCTACAGTAGATCATGAGCGAGACTACATAGTCAAGGTACTTTATGCTTCAATGATTGCCAGTCTTATGTATGTCATATTGTGTATGAGGCAATATATAACACATGCAGTAGGAGTAGAGAGTAGGTTTATGAGAAATCCAGGAAAGCAACATTAGGAAGCAATGAAGTGGATTCTCAAAATTTGAGAGGTATTACAAATTCAGCATTCTGCTTTAAGAAGACGAACTTAGAGCTACAAGATTATGTGAATGTTGATATGGTTGGTGACATTGATAATCTTAATAGTACCACAAGTTATGTCTTTACATTAGGTGGTACAGAGACATAACCTATGGTATAGTAGTTAGTTGGGTTTCAAAGCTATAGAATATTGTTGTCCTTTCTACTATAGAGGTAGAGTATGTTGTTGTGACATATGCTAGCAAGGAGTTGATATTATTACAATGATTCCTAAAAGAATTGGGTTTGAGTAATGAGAAGAGCTTTTTCCATTATGATAGCTAGAGTGCTATTCATCTAGTAAAGAACCCAATCCACCTCAACTTTGGAAAAAGGAGTTATAGCTCTCGAGAATATTCATAGGGTCAAAATCCAACTGATATGTTTACGAAGGTGGTAACTATTGAGAAATTGAAGTTGTCAATAACTTCAGTTGTACTTCTAGCTTAAGGAAAGAGGAGTTGATATTGATGTTGATGGAAGTGAAGAATTGAAAACATGCATTGGATTAATCACCAAGTGGGAGATTGTTAAGATTGTGGAGCCATGTTCAAGTCAAATTAGTATTTATTTGGGATATGGGTTTTCCTAATACACTTCTCAGTAGAAATGTTATCTCTTTAGGAAAGGTTATTCATTAAAGATGAATACAATGAAGAATAGGAATATAAATTGTATTAAGAATTAAAATAAAAACCTGTTAGGATAGCAGTTATGAGTCTTATTAGGATAGCGTCTCATGTATTATCTATAAAAGGGTGTTGAATCTTAGAACAAGACTGCAATTATAGAGTGAAAGTCACCAAAGAGAGAGGTTTAATGAGAGAGCCAATTTGTGAGGCTTATAAATTTTTCTTGTAATTTTTCTTCTTCTTCATAGTGAAATTCTGCAGTAGCAAAATAGACATAACACTCATGCAAAGAGTGAGTAACTATAAATTTTGTTTTATGTGTGGTTGATTATTTGTCATTTGTTCTCTTTATTTTCGCTTTTAGGGGGATTTAATTTTTGCTAGCATCTAATTAAATCTCACAACACTACCATCTCAACATTATAATAGATTCTATTAGAATAATCAGTTTCTGTTAATGTCGCCATTAGTTTGTATGTTCTTGCTAGCAACATGGCTTTTGTATATAAACATTTCTCTTCTTCAATTATAACCAGTTTTCCAATTCTAAACAAATCTATTTTTCTTGATTTTTCTCTAATTTTCACAAGTGTTAATAGCTTTACCCTTTATTATTGTTTGAAAAAAGGTTTTATAATTTTATTTTTAAAGACATTTTGACTATATACCTCACTCTAGAAAAAGAAAAAGAAAATTCTTATTTTCTATGTTAGAAAAATAAAAAATTTAACAATATATGTTGATGCAAGATTTACACTAACTAGAGTGATCCGATTGACCTTGGTGGAGTCGGAACCAATGTGTGCGTGACTAATTAAAATCAGCAATGTAATGAATTTAAATGCAGAGAAAGTAAAGAACACAATCAATTGTTATAGTGGTTTGGCAAGTTGGAACTTGTAACGCCCACACCAAGGTACGTAGCTTTATTTATGCCCTAATACCCTTAGTTGAATCTTGTTAAAGTTATCTTGGACAAGTGTGAAGGAAATTATTTAAAACGTTATTAGGGGTAAAATGGTGATTTCACTCTTAATTAGATGAAAGAGTGGGGAGTGAAAAGAAATAGAATAACATGGAGAAGATAATAGAAATGAGGGCATTCTTGTAATTGACTAAGTGACATAGATGGAATTTTTAGAAAGTGCAAGGGTAAAATGGGAATCTATATATATTATTATTATATGATATTAAGCGTTCAAGAGAAGAAACCCTAGCCACTCTACCCTTCCTTCACGCCAGCTTCATCCCCTAAAGCTGTGAAATTTTCTGCAACCAATTTCAAGGAAATTCATAGAATTTGGCCTAAATTTGATAGATTTTCAATCCTAAGCATTCATAGGTAAGATTCTTGTACCAACATGTGAGATTAAATTTTAAAGTTTTGAATTCTTATGGTTTTATATGCTTAGGGTTTAAGAGGAAGAGAATTCTACCAAAGGGAGGTTATAGTGTTGGTGTTGCTCAAATTTAAGGTAAGTAAATCCAACTCTAGCTTTGATTTGATCACAAGTTGTGTAGAGTAATTTCTTGTATGTTGTATGTGTTTGGATGATGAGAATTATGGATTGAATTGGTGTTGAGTGATATGTAAATCTCATGGCCATAAGAAGTGATTTATTAGTATGTGATGAGTTGATGAAATTTTGGATGAAATATGAAAGGATGGATGTTGAGTGGTGGAGTGTGAATTTCGGCTAGGTTGGATGTTGGCTTTAGGGAGTTTGTTTGCTCCAATTTTGGTGGCTTGGGAGGGATGTGGAAGTGTAACCAATTTAGTGTTTGCACGTGCATGTAAAGTGTTTGATGAAATTTCAAAGAAAGTGCATATATGAGTATGTTAGATTATTACCTTGTTATGGCATTGTTGTTTGTAGAGAATATTAGTTCTATAAAGATATCTTTATATGCCCTAATGCATTCTTAAATTATGAGTATTTGCATTTAGAAAGAATAGCAAGAATAATCTTATTTACATGCATATATAAACATATGAGAACATTAAAGAACAAT